TCCCATTCACTGACAGATCCATTTATGCTGATTTTAGTGACCAGAAAAGACAGTAACTTGCTATGAATTGCTCTTTGCTTGTATTTATAAATGATTTTGCTCAAAAGAAAGTTGTTGCAGACTGTTGTCCCAATTAGTAACTTGGAAGAGGAACCTTAACAAAAGATTAAAGTAAACTAGTTTTAGAATATTACAGTACTGGGGAGAAATAATTGGAAATGATGCACAAAAGCCAGCCATGTGCTGTAGGGATTCTGCATTATGTGAAACAGTGTGAAAGGCAGTATGGGAAGGCTGGGCAGAGATAGTTCCCATTAAAACAAGAAAGAGCAATCCAGGTTGTTCTTAAGCTTTTTGTGGGCACCATAATATATGTAGAGCTCTGTACTGAGCCAGTAAAACACGATGTTAAAGATAAGGAGCCAGTAAAATTTATATTAAAGATAAGCCTTGGAACCAATGTTCTTTATTTTTGCATTGTATATTACCTCTTAAAACTAGTGACAGGCTGTGAATACTGGACCTCTCCCTGAGAGCCAGATAAAGTATTGATGCCACTGGCTTCTTTATTTGATATTGGTACTTTCTGAAGAATTTATTGCTGCTTCATAATACCTTGGCTTTTCTGGTCAGGTGATGCTGATGCTTGTTTTCAGTGTCAGTTCTGCCCAAGGTGGTCTCAGTTGCTGCAGTTTTAGAATGAGGAACAGTGTCTGATTTTAGTCTTTCTGTGGCTTTTCTTTAAACTTCTGCACTGCTTTGCAGTTGATATTGATTTCCTTTGCTTTGTGACGGGCAGAACTGCAACTGGTGTCACTGTGCATATTGTTCAAGGCAAGAAAGAAGGGCAGTTTGATTTTCTCTGTCAAGTAGACAAGGTGGGATGGGAGCCATCAGCTCTGAGGGAACTGTGTGTGCTGCCCCATCCTAGATCAGGTGTCTCTGAGGAACAGACTGCTTTATTACCTGATTTTTCTTTCTCAGAGCAGTTGAGGGCTCAGCAGTGGACTGTCTTTTTCTCCCTTTCAGTGCTGGGGAATGCCTGGGCCTGGCAGGGGAGAACTGTAGTGTTTACAGCCCTTCTTCCCAGCAGTGGCATCTAGGACAGCTCAGAGTCACTCCCTTTCCTTTCTGGGGAGAGACTGTAAGGAGGAGAATGCAGAAAGTTGGAGAACCACAAATTTAACTTACTTATTTTTATTTCAATAATAATTACACTTCAACTTCTGTGGTTCAGCAGTAGCTTGAGAAGCAGCTAAGATATCTCAGTTGAATTGGTGCTAAAACTGTGGGTAATATGAAACTTTTCCTGCTTCTTTCTATACCAAATGGTACATACTAGCTGTTTTCATAGAATCATGGATTGTTAAGTTTGGAAAAGACCCTAAGATCATCAAGTCTATTTTGTTTTCAGTTAAGCCTCTTCCATTGAAAGTCTTTCCTGAATTTAGTTGATCACTGAATTTTTAAAAGTTATTTTCTGGTCCACATCCTTCAGGAAAAGGGTTAAACACATTTCATCTTTGCTTCAGAAAATGTTACTAAAAACCACAAGGAGGCTGCAAATATGTAGAAAAGGAGGAGACAGGTGGATATAAAATGTTTTGCTCTACTTGCTGTTTTGTATTTGTGATTCTGGCTTTGCTTGTATGTATTTTTCACCAGTACTTTTATACAAATATTGTGAGTAATGAAGTGCTTATAATTCCTGAGATTCTGAAAGCCGTGCCTTGTAATGGACAATACTTATACATCAAGGCAGTAAGTAGGCCCATTTCTTATCCTAAATAATCCTCCTCACTTGAATGTTAAAGTGCTTTCCAGTAATTAGTTATCTTAATTGCTAATTTTTTTTGAGGGCAGGAAGCTTTGCTTTTGTCTTGCAAAAAGAACCTGAGCCACCAGGCTGAGTGCATTATTGTTCCGTGGTACATGCTGAGCCTGCTGCTGCCAGAATAGGAATTTTACTCCATAAAAATTCCAGCCTTACCACTTCAACATTACAGAGCAGATACTGCTGATAACATTTTGGAGTCTTTAACAGATCTGTTTTCATTTCACTCCATTATTTGCACTGTTCATTTCACTATTTGCTCCTTTGCTGTAGCTCCAAATCAAAACAGCCTTCCTGGAGTGGCTGATAGTGGGAATGCAAATCCTGCTGTGAGCTACCTGTGCTCTCCATTTGGTTGCAGCCAAGAAGTTACTGGCCTGGTAGCAGGAGTCCCTCAGAATTGGAAGTTCCAGTCATTTTTTTTTTGTGGTATTCACAGATCTCAGTGTAAAATCCTCACCAAAGCTTGACATTTTTGGCCCTTTCCCTGGTGTCTGATTTCTCCCACACGTATGTTCATTGATTTCGAGGATTTACTGCGTAGTTTGGGTTCTTCCTGAAAATTGCTTTGTTTCTGCTAATAATTGCTCACAACCCACAGTGCTGCATCACATAATCTTTCAGCTATTGCCTCACTGAGCTGCCTTCCTGGGTGTCCTCCTCTAGGTTTAATTGATCCCGCGTGAAAAAAACATCTGAATTGTAAAATATCCGAGTTCCTCGAAGATTACTGGGATAATACTGTGGAAAGAGTGGAATAATCTTGGTCAATCTTATTTGTGACCTTGTCCATAAATCTGGTCATTGTTGTATTAACTGTAATTTCTTATGGTCAAACTTGAATACACCAACTTTAAGAGGTTACTGTATACAATGATGTTTCATGCTAAGAGGTACTAGAAACTAACCTTATATGTAAAATAAACAACAAATATCTGTTATATATTTCCAGACATCTTCAAAATTGCTTAGACTAATCCTTAATGGAAGAACATCAAGATGAATATTTGACTGGATTTGATTTCAGTGGTTGATACTGAAATAAAAGGAAGAAAAGCAAGCCTGATTGCACAGAGAGAATTCAAAGTTTAATTGGGCCACAGACAGCAAAGGATGGTAATGGATAGCACACCAGGATGGATTTCAAGCTGTAACTAATCTGCCTATTTAGATTTTTTCCCCCCCTGCATGTTTTTGAGGCATAAAGTAATGTATCCAATGCGGGGGAAGGCCCTTTTCCTGGAGAGCCAGATCTACTACTAAACTCTGGATTATGTAAATACCTGATCACCCGGTTGATAAAGATGTCAGATACAAGTTTAAATGTGAATCTGCTTTTTAAAACAATTACCTAAACCCAGGCAGAATTTGAGCTTTCAGAGCTCTGACTCAGGGTATATACAAAGTGCAGGAGACTTTTGTGGCCTCTACTGTGAGCTTTCATAGCCTTCTTTCTCCTTCTACCTCAGCTGTTGTATTTTTCACAGGTGTATGAAGCTGAAGTTAAATATCCTGATTATTCGCCCAGAAAAGCTCTCCAGTCAGCCATGCAGATCAGCTCCAGGGAACCATAATGATTTTGATGAAATCTCTTTAACCTTTTATAAATACTTTAAAAGAGGTCTTTTTATCAGAACAGAATAATTTTGATTTTTTTTTTAAGTTACTTCACATTTATGTATCCTACAGAATGGAATTTTAACATGAAAATTAAATGCTTTCATTTCAGTGATAGTAAATGTTTCAATTAACATTAAAAGTTACTTTAAAGAAAAAGAAAACTCAAACTTGAATACTCATTTTTGGAATGACCAGATTTTAAACATTCAGAATTTGCTATGTTCTATTTCCACACTGCTTCCCATGTATAGTGAAATACGTTTGTGGAAGTGATAGATTGACTGAAATTGGACATAATTTCATGGAACATAATTTATATTTGTGCACTGCATATACCTGTATACAGGAACAGAATCTGTTTTTTGGCAGCATGATGCTTCTACCTGTATTCAGCTCAGGTTTTCTTAACATTGTTTCTATCTAGACATCAAACTTGGTATTTCAGTAAAGAACTTTGAACTCCTGCTAAGATGTTTATGTTGTCATGAAGTATAGATAATAAAAAGTAGAGGAACAGGCTGTCATAGCTGTTCTAGAATATCTCTTTTAAAAAGGCGTTTTACATGTAGTGTAGTTGAACCTTTGAAGTTGAAATATTCACAGTATTAATGTTCCCAACCATTTTTTTCAACTTTTGCAAGAACAAGCTTAGTTTAAAAATGTGCAGTTACTTGCTTAGATTTAAATGTTCAATTGGAATGTCGTTATTAAGTTCAAATTGGGAAAGAAGGACTCATTTGAGCTTGAGGTGGAGCTTCCTAATCAGGTGCTGGAAGTGGGATGCTCTTCTCCTAACATTATGTCTTTTAGCCTTTTAAAAGATAATTGTCTAGTAGCTTTCCAGTTGCTCTCTGCCAGTCCTGAGGAGAAAAATGCATTTAATAATGGGAAGCCTTCCAGAGGTGTTTGCTTGCTCCGTAAATGTCTTGAACATTAAAGGTGCAGAACACTGTTCCCATGTGAACACTGAGCTGCCTGTTTTCTTAATATGCTTTGTATGTTCCATTTTGGGGTGCACAGAAGAAATTCCAAGTATCTTATGTTTCTGAAAGTGGAAATCTCTCTTCTTCCTGCCTTCCATCTTATGGTGTCAGTTTGGGTATGTTACAGAAGTTTAGCAAAGCATTTATGTTAGGCCCTCTTAGTGAGGGATGCTCTCTGGAGTTTCAAATATTTTGTAATTAATTTTGTTCTTTTATTCTGTCTTTTTCAGGAAATAGGGAATGCTTCCTCTTGTGATTTGGGGTGCCCATCAGAAATAGTGACACTGTTGACCTTAAATGTAGGATGGAAAGAGTACCAAGTGTATACAAGTGGAGTTACGCACTGTAAGCCTGTAGCAAACAACTTTAATGCTGCTGGGTGCACTTTTCAAAAATAACTTAGGAGTGGCATTCTCAAGAGTGATTTGGGCTCTTTGGTATAACTCCTCACAAATCTTATTGTAGATTCCTGAATCACTTCACAAGTAAAAGTTTTTTTGTCATCCTTATTTACAGCCAATATCTTCATGTTTTTTGTTTTTTTTTTCTTCTCTCTTCCTCAGCTCCCTTTTTTAGAATCTGGATACTTTTTTTATCACAATGGTCTTGCTAAAGCCAGGAGAAGACGCAGCCTTCAACACAAGCTTCGTCTGGAAAAGGACTCCAGGGTAAGTGTTTCATCATTATGTGCAGCTGTTATGTTTTCTTTGTGACACAGACAGTTTTTTTATGAGATCAGGGTGATGATCAAATCTATGGCTATGATTATGGGTTTTTTTCCCCCATCATGTTTCAAACTTGGTGGCTTCTGTATGCACACACTTCCCAAACAGCCTCAGCTTTTATTTTTATTTCACTGTTAGTCATACATTCTCTGAGGTGTATCCTCTCTCCAGTAAGACTCAGTGATGCTGTAGTCTCCAGGGCATCTCTGTGCACTCTGTAATGTGGGAAGAAGCCATCTGAGGTACATCTCCTGTTTGTCCACTCTGTGAATCTTGCTACCCATGGGTTATTCAGCCCTGAATTGTGGTATGGACGGCAGCACTTTCTCAGCAATCACCACAGATGCCCTTCTTCTCAGGGAATAGAATAAACACCAGTTACTAGAGGAGTGTCAAACTTGAGTAGTTCTTTTAGAGGCTCTTGATTGCAGTCTACAAATGGTGTGCTCAGTTTCCAGAAGCATAAACCTTTCAAACAGGAGAGAAAGGCCCCTTCTGTGGAAGGCTATGAGCTGGCACTGACAAATTATTTTTCCTTATATGCAGAGTTTTTGCACCAGCTTAATACTGGGCTGAAGTTGGACCAGGTAGCAAAAAAATGTATTTACTGCCCAAAGAAGGTAGGTTGGCCTGAGGAATGGTATCATGACAGCAAATAGATTGTATTTTAATCACTCAGTAAGATTTCAATTCACTGCACTGTGAAGAGAGTTTTTATTTATTCCAGTACTCTGTGAAGAGAGTATTTATTCCAGACAGAATGCGTTTGCCAGATTTGTGTTATTGCAACACCCATGACAATGAAACACTTGAGTAGGAAGAAGAGGAAAATAGGTTAAATAAGATCATAAGTGCTGTTGTGACACCAGAGCAAGCAAGGACTGATGAATTCCCAGCTTAATTTTCCTGTTTCTGCAGAAATTTCAAGTGATTCCAGGCCCAGGTTGAGCTAGGATGCCCGTGGCTGGTCACTTCTGCAGTTGAGAGCCTTGTGAGGGAACCACACAGGTTCCAGGTGCTGCTTGCCCCATTACTCTGTCCCAAGATGCTGATAGCTCTAGGGCACCTCTTTTCTGGTCCCCTTCTCTAAAGGGAAACCAGATACAGGTGAGGGGTTATGAGGCAGAGACATCCAACCTGCCTTGAACAGAAATTCTGAGGCTTCTGTTGTTTTGTTTACTAAGCAGGGATCAGAGAGTAAATTACTGGGAAAAATCTAAAATTAGTAGGTACTAAACCAAATGTCCTGAGATGTTTCTTCTGTCTGTGAACCACCCAATCTTGTAAAGTCATTTATGAGAAAATGCATGAGAAAATTTAAAAGAAAAAGCACACAATTAAGTCAGAATGTTGGAAAGTAGTGGCTGGGTACAGTCACTGTACAGAGTCATTCCATATGCTCTTTGAAAATAAATATTTCTGTAAGTCTCTGAAAATTTTACAAATACCTGTGATATTTGTATGAAACCACCAGTTCTCCCTGCAGCCTAATATTACATGTCTGAGCACTCTTGGACTAATTCCAGACTGGCTCTTGCACTGATACCTCTAGACTAAGTGTCTGCACTGCTGTTAAGAACAGCTTAAGTGAATCTACCTTCTAGTTCAGAGATGTTCCCTTTTGTAGTCATCTGTTATTTGCAGTTTCTATACTCTCAATTTGCTTCTGTCACATGCAGTGAAATCTCATTTTTCCTGATAATCTCCACCTCATCATGGTACTGCATACCACTGGCTCCCTCCTTTGACTTCAGGGAATAAAGCTGTGTTTAAGTAACTGAGAGTATTTCCCACGTGAGGAAAAGAATGACCCTGGGTGAATTCTGACTTCGTGGTTTGCACTGGAAAGTGGAAGGGGGATGAAGCAGTGTTTCATTTCCACATATAACATGGCATTTTCTCATCTAGCCTGTCCTGTTGAATAGTCCTTGAGCTCTTATGATCCTGTATAGGTCAGTTGCTCTATGTAATACAGTTTGAGAGCAATTAAAATCATTATTTTTATCTCCCTTCTTCTTTCTATGTGAAGTTTCTTTTCTATGTGAAGCCATAAAAATTCCTGTCATTTTGTGTAAAAATGGAAACATGAGTTGTGTTGACAGTACTTAATTTCAAACTCTAAAAGTAATTTCTAAATGTAATGGCAGCTTTCTGGACCATTTATGATCAATTTTACTTAGCAACAAATGTCAGCACTGTCATGGTTAATATGTTAATGCATGAAGCCAAGAATAAAATGTTCCTGATTTCAGGCTAGCCAGGAAGAAAAACCTTCAACCACAGGGCTATAAAAATCTCTCAGGAACTGTTATGGTAAATGCTGTTGCAAAAAGTTGCTTGGCCCTACCCAAATATGAGAAAGTGGGCTGCACTTACTCTGTATACTTTTCACTTTAAAGGATGTTACAATGCCTAGCTAATTTTAGTTACTAGCTGAAAAACAGCACAGATGTTAACTCAATTAATTAATGTTTTTTAATCAAGTAAGTCCCTTGAGGATTCATGTCAGTTTTTCAGAAGTCTAAGATAGATGACACAGCAGTATGCAAACAGGTTACTGCATCATTTCCATGATCTCCATGTCTTTTAAAATGCTCAAAAATGCTTTGTTGTGCAAAATTTACTTTTATGTTTGAACCAAAATAATTTGGACCTATGCTAAAAACATTACAGCAGCTAAGTGATAAACAACACTGCAGTCAAGGGGGTGGGAAGGGAACATTATTTAATTCCTTGAAATCCAGCGAGAACTAATCTTTGTTTTGAAGAACCATCTCAAATACAATGGTTTTAACATTTTTTAATAGATTCATATCACTGAAGCCTGAAGCAGTTCTGGCAGTGGATGAAGAATGTACATGTAGTGTTGTCACATAGTGTGCTGTCCTGTGGAAATGTTCAAGAAAAAAAGTGCAGGTGCATGAGGCACCGTGGCTTTTGCTGTCAGTACTGTCCTGTCAGGCATCCTTTCTGTCAAGGTGGCAAATTCCACAGTGAGCTGAACTGCTTCAAATGGAGACTGTTTTGTTATTTAAATTACATTATCTGAGGTATGGAGAAGCTTCCAGGAGAGGTTTGCTTTGACTCTTCTGCGTCAGTTGCAAATTTCTGTGATTTCCAGTGTGCTTCTGTTCTTTTAGCTTATATACCCTTGGTGCCAAATGAATTATGGGGAGGGATTCCCTTTACCACTTTTACATCTTTAAGCTGGAATTCTTAATGAGCTAAGACATAGCAGCAACATCTCCAGGATTCTTCATGTGAAACTGCATTTTTTTGTGCCTTTATCTGTTTATAGCAAAAATGTCTCAGACCAAAAGGTCAGCCATTAGGCTTTTTTGACCTGGAAGACTTCATTTAAGGGGCTGCAGACATGAAAGTAGCCCTTGCCATGACCCATGGACACAGAAAGCTGTGAGGAGCCACAGTAGTATGGGACCAGACATCAGTGTAAATGTGAAGAGAGAATAACTGAGACAGGCTGGAGCAAAAAACCAGAGTCAGTGAGAAGGTTGAGTGATCTGGGTTTGGAGGAGCCCAGGAGCTGAGTGAGACATGGAGGAGCATGTGTTGGCTGGAGAGACTGGGGACAAGGTATCCAGAGTGACATTAAAATGTGCAGCTGCCTAAAGTGCACATCACAGTCTCAGAGCAAGGGGAGCCTTCCTTGTGAGCAAGGGGAAATACAGCTTCTGTAAGAGCAAACTTTGCTTTTAATAATGAGGACCAGTGGTATGTGATTGCCCTGAAAAAGAGAATCAGAAATATGGAGATACTTCATATTGCCTTGTTGGTTAGTAAGGTAGAGGCAGGATGGGAAATAGAGTCCTCTCCTGCTCCACCACAGCTAAAACAAAACCAAACCATGGGATTTGGTTCTGTCATGAGCTGATGCTGGCTGGATGCCAGGTGCCTGCCAATTCACTCTGTCCCCAGTGGGACAGGGGAGAGAAAAACATAATGGAGAGTTCATGTGTTGAGATAAGGACTGGGGGAGATCACTTATCAAACATCATGGGCAAAACAGGCTGTAATTAGAGATATGAATTAAATTTATTACACTAGCAAAATCAGAGCAGGATTATGAAAAATGAACCCTTAGAAACCCCTCCCTCCTTCCCCGCTCTACCTCCTAGTCCAGTGGCACAGGGTCAGAGGGAATGGGGTTGTGGTCAGTTCATCATCCGTGGTTTCTTCCATTGCTCAGGGAGAGGAGTTGTTCCCCTGTGCCACTGTGGGGCCACCACAGGAGACAGTTCTCCACAAACCTCCAGTGTGAGTCCATCCCAGGAGCAATGGTTCCCTGCAAACTGCTGCAGTGTGAGTCCATCCCATGGGCAGCATCCTCCCAAAACTGCTGCAGCGGGGTCACTCTTCTGTGGGGTGCAGTCCTTCAAGGACAGGCTGCTCCAGCCTGGGCTCCTCTGTCCATGGGCCTCCCACAGGGTCACAGCCTCCTCTCAGGCATCCCCCTGCTGTGGCATGGGTCTCCTCCATGGGCTGTGGGTGGATCTCTGCATCCCCATGGATC